GAAATCCGGCCCAGAAAAAACACACACAAAAAAAACCCCAACCAAAACAAACCAATGAAAACCTCCAAAAAAAACACACACACACACAAAAAATACACGCACACAAACTTTTGGCCTATTTAGCTCCACATTGGGGATCATGGTTTGGAGGAAATAGTACAAGGAACACAGTGGGAGTATGCAACAGGGCAGGGGACACTTCCTTTCAATGACATGGACATTGTCTCATGTTGAAACCACAGCTTTACACATGACTGAGCTTTACAGCTGCCACCTTCTCAGATGAAATCAACAGCATTAGTTACCATACTTAAGTGACTTGCATGTAACAGTACAATTCTAATATTAGGAATCATCATTACTGATTGTTATGGATGCACTCACTGTTTTTTTTTAGTGGTAGCCATCATTACATAGTACCTCTTGGCCCCTCTGGTATCGAGGTCTCCATACTACCCAATGAAAAAGCAGCTCCTTCATTCTATTCGTTTGCGCTGTTTGCAGCTAAAAAGAAAGAAACCTAAAAGCTGTGTCAAAGGTGCAGACCTCACACTGCAGGACAACTTAGCAGTACCACTTGGTTCGTGATACACAGCGCACTGCAGTAAAATGCGAGAGTTCATTTGCCTCTTCTCCTCAAACATGAAGCTTTATTTTAAGACAACAGTAAGGATTTAGTCCAGTATCACTCACATCAATACACGGTAATCAACTGCAATAAATTATTGCTATTACAATTTTTTATAAGCTATCCCTTAAATCTTTTGAGGAATGATTTTCCAACCACCAACATATACGGACAGCGGGTGCCTGTCAAACTGTGTATTACTTTGTCATGGTTTAACCCCAGCCAGCAACTAAGCCCCACACAGCTGCTCACTCACTCCCCCTGGTGGGATGGGGGAGAGAATCAGAAGACTGAAAGTGAGAAAACTTGTGGGTTGAGATAAAGACAGTTTAATAGGGAAAGCAAAAGCTGCACACGCAAGCAAAGCAAAACAAGGCATCCATTCACTCCTTCCCATCAGCAGGCAGGTGTTCAGCCATCTCCAGGAAAGCAGGGCTCCATCACACGTAACGGTTACTTGGGAAGACAAACGCCATCACTCCAAATGTCCCCCCCTTCCTTCTTCTTCCCCCAGCTTTATATGCTGAGCATGATGTCATATGGTGTGGGATATCCCTTTGGGCAGTTGGGGTCAGCTGTCCCAGCTGTGTCCCCTCCCAACTCCTTGTGCACCCCCAGCCTAACTTGCTGGTGGGGTGGGGGAAAGGCAAAAAAGGCCTTGACTCTGTGTAAGCACTGCTCAGCAGTAACGAAAACATCCCTGTGTTATCAACACTGTTTCCAACCCAAATCCAAAACACAGCCCCATACCAGCTACTGTGAAGGAAACTAACTCTAGCCCAGCCAAAACCAGCACATACTTCTTACAATACTTGCTTAGAATCCTCTAATTAAACAAAGATCTGGTAAATACTAGATGCATAAGTTTACATATTATGTTCTCTTTGAAGGAAGGACTGTGCTTTCCTGTCTGCAAAATAAAATTCATGCTTGTAGTGTTGGTAATTCATTAGTTATACTACAGTAATACCTCTGTAACAGCACTCTGAAAGCATAACCAAATTACTGAGGCTGTTAAACAGAGGGGGAAAACAAACAAACAAACAAACAAAAAAAACCCAACCACAAAACACTCAGAAGCTAGGGGAAAAAATACAAAGTTAAAGTTGCTTGTATGACCTTAACTCATCTCCTTTCTATCCTCAACAGAAAATGGTAGGAACCTTATCTGTAGCCTCCACTACTAGTATCATAGTGATAGCTGTTTGCAGTGTCAGCATTACAAACAAAGATACCATGCTTTGAAGAGAATACGGGAAACTGAGTATCAAGATCATAAATTGCTAATGAAATACAAGAAGTTATTTTTTAAAAAATTAAAACCATTTGAATGATTTGTAGTCGCCTCCTTGGCCATAACTCTCTGTAGGTACAGTTGTGAAGGTGCCAAAAAGTTACTTAATTGAAAATCTGGCATGTGTTCCTTACTGCCCTATTAGATTTTTAAAATGTGAACTTAATTGCCAAAAATGAGAGGGGGAACATTACTTGCATTGGAGTTTGGAGAAAAAGAGAATTATTTTTTATCCATCATATATATGAAGAAAAAGTGCCCTAACACTAATATATTGATATTTGTAACTAAACACTAAAAGGCCAGGTCTTGAATAACATAATTTGCTACCGATTTGTCTTGATTCTTAAAAGTCTCCTTCACAAAAGATCATTTTGCTATTTATGCCACCGAGCATTTTAGTTCTACAGAGCTGAGCTACAGTCCACAAAAGATATTAAATTAAATCCAAGGGAAAGAAATGCAGATGATCAGATAAAAGCAGTAAGTAGAAGGTTCATACTGTGCCCATTTCTCCTTTAAGCCTGTGGCAGATTTCCCTTGCGCTGGACCCGGGCCCAGAATCAGGAGACAGAGAAGGTTCTTCCCCTTTGTGTCTCAGCAAAAGGATTCAAAGTTTTCCACCTTGAAACTCACATTACTGTGGGCTTTTCAAAACTGAAACTCTCTTACTATAGTAACAGGACTCAGTAGGTGCTCTTCATTAGCCTGATTAAGTCAGTCAAAATCTGTGGAGACATTTTAAATAAATTCACTGGGCTTTGGGTCAGCAAAATGTAAATTAAGTAAAGATGCAGCTCATAGTAAGTAATCCTGCAAAGAGTGGCTCTTCCTTTACTCTTGCTGAGTTCATAGAGAGTTGAGGACATCAGGTCCTTGATCTCCGACTGAGGTCTAAGATCTTTTAAAAGAATATCAGGTATGCTTGAAAGCTTCAGTGGGCTTAGTAGAGGCTGGACTGAAATCTTTTCCACATGCTATACAAAACCAATTTGACCTCCTATGTGCTGGGACTTGTTTCTGAAGTATCTAGCAGCCCTATTCAGGATCTTCAGAACAGAGTTATGTTTTTAAATATCATTCTTTCTGATGGGCAAATTGAAATTTCCTAGTCTGAATTTAAAACCATCGTTCTCATGAATATAAAAATAAGATAAAAGGGAGGTAAAAACAGAAACACCTGTGGATATTTGAGTTATTTAGTAATCCAGTATTAAGATTTCACTTTCTTACCTTTCCCTTCTCCAAAAACCACTTCCAGCACCTAGACTAGGAACAATACCAACAAAATCATCATGAGCACTCTGATGGAAAGGTATGAATGAGTGCAGCAGAACTAAGTATTGTTCTAAGGCAGGGCCTCCATGGTTGATTGCAGTAGATTTGAGCTCACTCTAACCAATGCAAGCTGCCCTGCTGCAAGCCACTTGTAATCTACAAGTAGGGTTTATTAGCTGGGGTTTAGCCTGGCAGTAATGCAATTACAGGGGGCAGAATGACTGCCTGCACTCTACTGGGAAGACATATGCTAAATATCCTAAGTTTCAGGAAATATCCTAGATCTTAATAGCTCTGCAGTTAGTGTGGTTGAGGAAATGGGTTCTTAACTTGTCCGGCTCCAGCAGAATTGTTTTTCAGGTTAACTGAGTAGGCGAAGGTGTTTTTACAGGAAACATTCCCTCCTTCAGAATTGGATTTAAAATGATCCTGAAACAGTTAAACAAGGCAGCCACAAACAAAGTAGGTCCAACATTTAAGATCATGATGTTACGACTCTCCTTCAGACCACTAGACCTGGGCTGGTTTGATATAGCAAAAGTGGAGTCAGCTTTAGGTTGTGGACAAACAGGTGACGCTAGGATAGCCAGACAGTGGACCACCCAGATCCAGTTCTGGTTCAGCCCTCCTTGGGGCCACAGTGCAATCTCTGCAGAGTCCTTAGGCTCGGAGGGCTGGGCAGTGCCAGCACAGCACAGTACAAATGCATGGAGGCTGCTCATGTCCACTCTGTCTGTTTGCATCCCCTTCCTGCAACACAGAACATGGGAAAAAACAAGCACAAAGACAACACTGGTCTATCCAGGCTCATTATTTACCCCTCATGGGCCTCCCTAGGCTATGCAGTCCAAGCTCCAATCTAAGGTGCCCGTCTGCATTCACACCTGGACAGCAAGCACTGAGCATGGTAGTGGAGTGAGGAGGTAATATTTTCCCCTGGCTCTAGCTTGGCGGCACAGACAGAACTACGAAGCCTGGATAGACCTGAGCTGGCTCCTCACAGAAACCCCACAAATAGGTCTGTCTTGCATTCCTCCTTCTCAGGAGGAACGTGATGGGTAGTCTGTCGAGTCTCAGAATGACCAGCATAAGTCTGTCAAGATTATTCATCACAGCTCTGTACCTCAGCATGAAATCCTGCTGCCCCTGCCAGCACAGATCTGCAACCCAGACAACCCACCGCATGTAACTGCTGGCTGAGCACCAGAGACCCGTGAGTCAGGACAACAGCATTTGATATGATACTCTACTTTAGACTCCATCTACAGCTCTCTATACCTTATTTCATAACTGTGAAATGGCAACACCACTTCCTTTTTCCCCAGCCATTTTCTAACTTAGCTAC